AACTGAAAACATCCGAAGAGGTGGCCCCTCACATGGGAACAGTTGGAGAGGTGAAATGAGGGGCCTGAAGTTTCTATACAATGAATGCTTTGCAAATATGGGCTATGATTTGTAGTCTTTCTTAAAAACATATTTTAAAATCTAAAGTTCTCCTGTGGAGCCTCAGGCTCCTGGTTTCGCTTCTCCTTGTCTGTCCTCTGCAGAGCTGCCACATGGATTCTCCCAGATGCCACTCTGGCCTTCACCGAGCTGTCCATGGCTCCCCCTTCCTTTGGGGGAAGTCTCATCTCTCTCTCATGTTAATGTTCTCTCATTATTTGCTTTGTCACTGAGCAGTGTCTTTGAGCCTTCCTCCCATTGGCCATGTGTTGGAGCCTGTGTCAGGCTGCCTTGCTGGTCCACTCACTCCAGCTGCTGCCCCTCCCTGCCCCTCAGCCTCCTACAGGGAACCCATTTTGTTTGCTTCCTCATTTTCCTTTGCAAACTTGAGCATCAGGCCAGCTTTCCACCCATGATTCCTGCTGCTCTCCAGTCCTGACGTGGCATCTTAGAAGAGTTGCTTTGCTCCACCTGTCCTGCGAACTTCTATTTTCTCCAAGGTTGGAGTTTCTATTAATTCACCCTGCCCCAAGGGTGGTACAGAGGCTCACACTCTGACTCAGCATAGCTCTAGCTAAGATTGCTTTTCCTTCCATCCAGGGATTCTTGGGACTGCCTGTTTGATCTACCATTTGCTTCACCTGTGATGCACCCCACTCAGATGGTCTTCATCAACTCCTACTATTCTACCCCTCCCACAAAGCCCTGATCACATGCCTCTTCTTCCAGAGGCTTTCCTGACTTCCATCTGGAAGGAACCTCCTTTTCATCCAGTTTCAGAGCTTTACTGAATCGTGTAGCACACGAATCAGACAGTGCCCCGTGTGAGCTACCAAGAACATAATCAGTCCTTGCTGTGTCTTCTAGCCACCTAGAATGGCCATGAGGGTGTGCTGTGCATGGTGGTTAAATGACCGCTTGACTAATGTGGATGAAAATGGGCCACATGCTAACCTGACAAGCTCAGGGGAGGCCTGCGTGGTGGCCTTACAAACTCAGAGACCTAAAGTAACCACAAAGGATGGTCTGAAGTGAAAACTTTTTATTTATTTATATATTTTATTTTTAAAAAAATATATTTTATTGATTTTGTACAGAGAGGAAGGGAGAGAGATACAGAGTTAAAAACATCAATGAGAGAGAGTCATCCATCAGCTGCCTCTTGCACACCCCCTGCTGGGGATATGCCCACAACCAAGGTACATGCCCTTGACCGGAATCGAACCCGGGACCCTTCAGTCCCCAAGCCAACGCTCTATCCATTGAGCCAAACCGGCCTCGGCTGAAGTGAAAACTTTTTAATTAAAAGCAGTTTATGGTGATTAATTATGTCCTAGGTTGGCATCTTCCCTGACAAAGGTCAATCTTTACCCTAATTGAGCCTGTCTATTTTCTTTTTGCATCTATGATACTATATTGTTGGAATGTCAAAGTCATTTGCCTTTTTCTGGAACCCCTCTGCGGAGACCACAAATTCCCTCATTGTCACTGAGCTGTTGACTATTAATGATCATATACCCCCACACTCACTTTACATATTATTTTACTTTTTATCCAATCCCAGAGGTTTCCCCTTCCGCTTTCTTTTGCCTCCCTAATTTATCACCAATGGATTTCATGTAACCCACTTACCTCTCCTCTTTTGGCGGTAATGTATAAAATAAGGTGCAAAACTGCCATCCTCAGAAGATTATCTCAATTTCTTTAGATTTTGCTTCCCAGCAGTTGTAGACAATTGAACTCAAATAAACTCACAGAAATTGCTCACAGAGTTCAATGTTTCTTACCTTGACACTGATGATGAGATATCTCAAACTCTGTTGTCACTGGTGAAATCTTGAAAGTTGGGAAACAGCTTTCCTGAGCCTGTACTGGTGAGATTTCTTCTACTTCTCCACTTAATGTCTTCATTATGCCAGGTGGTCTTGTCCACTTTTATTTTATTTCTTGTGATTTCACTGTGGTTGGTTCAAAACTGAGCTCTTAAGACTGGCCTGACATTTTAATTTCTCTCATGTACATGTAGGATAGTAGCCATCACTCAGCTGACCTTTGATCTCTAGGAGAATGTTTAAATCCAAATATTTTTTCATTCTGGGCTGGGGCAGGTTGCATATTTTAGTGGAGAGGCATATGTTGAGCACTCAAGTTGTAACTGATGCTTAAAATGTATTCATGCATTTCACTGTAGAAAGGACTTCAAGAGCCTGTTAAGGTGGCTAAAGGGTCCTTCTGGGAATGGTTTATCATTTGTAAATCATAACACTTTGCAGGTGTTTTGCACGGGTGTGTGTCTGAGACTGGCTTTTGCTGGGCGGGGCTGTCATTGAGAACTTCTGAGGTCATTTCCACTAAAGATGATACTAAGCTAAAAGAGAAAAGAATAAGAGTAACATGGAATTGAGTCAAATGGGGTCATTTTACATGTCAGTAAAACATAAGCAGTTTCTTATTTAATAGATAGTTAAATATCCACCTTAAAACATTCCAACCTTTAATTTGAGGCCAGCCTCTAGGGCTTTGCCATTTCTGTACCTACTCCGTTTTCTAGAAAATGTGTCAGTGATTTATGGTGTATACATCAGCTCATGTATGACCTCATTGGAGAGGATGGGCCAGCTCAGCCTTCAGATTTGAAGGGGCCATTGTCTGTGATTTTATTTTGTTCCTATTCAAGGTCACTGCTTTGTTGTTGTGGTTTCTGCTTGTATATGTGGGTGTTGTATCGAGTGATATATGTGCCTCCTGAAAGTGGAACTGTACCCAGCAAGGGCTGACCTTAGGGAACTGATGCTGTTCAATGGCCTTCATGCCCCTTCCCCAGAATGGTAAAATCCTTGGCATAAACAATGGCATCGTAAAACCTTTCAGGGGGTGTGGGCCCCGATCCTGATTTTGGAACTGGTTTTTGGTTCGAAATCAGATTCCAAAGGAAGTGATGCTGTCCCCTGAGCCATGTGAATTTTGAGCTGGGCATTCTGCCACTTGAAGGGGCCTGGGTTCAGCAGGGATGTTCTCTTCCTGCAGCATTTGTTGTCTGGTTGCATCAAGGATTCTGAATTCTTAGTCCTCTTGGCCTCTGTCCCCTTTGCTGCTCTAGAGGATGCCATTCTCTGCAGGCCTGACTCTTGGATGTCCTAGCCAAAGGGCCTTGTGGGCTCATTTATGACCTCACTGGGGGAGACTAGGTAAACTCAGCCGCTACACCTAATTATCAGCTTCAGTTTTTAATTTAATTCTGATATGTGGGAGCCAGGAGAAATCTCCAGGTACTCATGGCAGCAACCACTGCATCTGTCCAACCATATTACTTAAATTTTGATTAAGTTGCAAACAAATACAAAGAAATTTTAGTAATAAATTACAAAGCAGATTTTAGGGCTCCAGAAAGTTGATGTATTCAAATATGCTGTTTAATAAAGAAGTCTCCACTAACATATTTGTTGCCACACCCGAAGGAGATGTTATTGGTGTTGTAAGAAAGAATTGGCCGCTCCTAGGAATTTTTCCTGGGCTGAGGATGCCTTCTTACCTTGGGGAGAGCTCCCTTACTCCTCTTTTTGGCCTCAAGGATTTGCATCTGTGCCTTCCCCTTTCCAAAGATGATTTCACGAACTTTAAAAGATTCTGCTGGGACCACATAGGGATCCGGGATTCTGCTGTGTGTTGGGCACCTGGCCTGCGGGCGTCGTTTTGGGCAATCTGAAGGAGTTGCTTTGGCTCACCCAGTCACTTCCCATGAACTAACCGTAGGCACCTCTCAGAGATGTGATGTTACCTAGTCACTGCCCTCTGACCTCTAGCCCTGGAGACTTCAAAATTGCTCTTTAGCAGATACAAAGTTTTACAAATTTCCAGATGCTGTAATTCAGTTTCTTTTCTGCAGGCAGATGGCTTTTTAGAACATTACTGAAGGAGATAGTGTGGGAATTATTGCATGGAGGAATAGCCAGAATGTTCCAGAATATTCTGGGAAGTTCTTTCCTTGCCATCATTCTCAGCTGCTGCCTAAGTGAGTGTGTGATGGGCTACGCAACATCAGTGTATTTATGGCAGCCAGAAGCTGCAGAGTGTGGAAAGCAGGAAGAAGCTGTATGAAGGACAGCAGAGAAACCATGAGCGCAGAAGTGCAGTATTAAAGTCCCAGGTGTCCTTAAGGAACAAGGGCACATTTCTTTTATGAAGAAGAAGTGGGAAGTAACCTATTTGTTGGAACTCCAGGTTCTACAGGGATTAGTGTCTTGTGGTAGACTTTCTGTCACATTACGACATCAAGTTTGCAGGATTTTTGTATGTTAAATTGATGGGGAGATTGGGTGGCTTGGTTTTAGTAGAGTGAATCATTTTTATGCTTTATAATTTTTTCCTATGAAGTCTCATTTTGTGATCCAAATAAGTTGCTATGTAAATAAAAACACAAATGCATATTTTTGGTATTAGTTTATTCTAAAACTTCTGCCTTTTAATGAACTATTTTTAAAATGTATTACTTAAGGTACTGTATTAAAAAAAGAAAGCATGAAAGAACCATCCTACACTGTGTAAATTCACACAACCAATCTGACCTTCAAACTGCTTAAAATAATTCAAATGGGTTTGAGATGATAGTCCTTTCCATTGTTTCCTGAAATTTGTTTTCATATGTTAACAGCATTTGAATTTTTATTTCTCCTTTTCTGAAACGAGAAATCCATAGGTGCATGGATATTAATTAAGCCAGGTCTGTCCTACTTGTCATTTTTAAGCTATCCTGTGTCATTGTTTTAAGTCTCACATTGCTAAAGCAGCTCCATCTGGTTGTGCATGGCACTAATGGAACTTTCTAGAATTCATACACAATGACTACAACATCTTTTAAACTGGGTAAACAGGACCATTTCTTTTCTTTTTTTTTCTCGCAGTGTTGGAGTGTGAGAGTTGAGCTCCAGTGAGCAGATGGCTGTGGATCCTTAGTGTGATACATGATCCAAGAAACACTCCAGCCTTTTCCTCCTTGGTAAGTCAGACATCGAGGTGGGAAATGAAGGACCTAACAGTTTTATAGGCTCAGATACTGTGACAGCTGAGGAGCTTTACTTTCCTCTGCAGTCAAAATGGCAGTGAATGGGCAAGCTTTCAGAGAGACAAGTTTCTTTATGGCAAAACTATTTTGACCCAACCCCTCACTCAGGAAACCCAAAGCCCTGACAGGGTGCCATTGACACAGCATCCTCTGGCCCACGGTGTGCTTATTCACCTGGTTTCAGTTTTACTTTGCAACCTTAAACATACTAGAGGCCCTGTGCCCGAGATTCATGCACCGTGGAGGAGGGAGGAGAGAGTCCCCTCAGCCTGGCCTGCACCCTCTCACAGTTCAGGACCCCTCAGCGGACATCCTTAGCACTGCTATGGAGGTATGAGAGGTTCCTGCCACCACTCCAGTGTGGGAGCTCACTGACCACCAGGGGGCAGCTTCTAAGTTGAGCGTCTGGTGGTCAGAGCGCATCATTCTGCTGTTCTGTATATTTGCATATTACCCTTTTATTATATAGGATTAGGACAAGCATGCAATTACTTTGGGTTACCCGGTAATTATGTTGCATAAAAATGTTGTGATATCAAACTCCCTCTTCTATTACAAGCAAAAGCAGATGTTTAAAGAGTAAAGTTGAACAGGATTGGCAAACTTAAATCATGGGATAACATAGGGATACCCTTTGCCACATATATCAAATAACATGATTTTAAAAAACTTTTTCTTAAAAGGGTACACTGACACTTTAAGGCCTATTTGGTAGGTTTTAATATAAAAAATTGGCAAAGAAAAACCACTTTATTTGTGTTTAGTTGAAGAGTTTAATCAGGGAACTACTTTTATTCATTCATTCATTCATTCATTCATAGAAATAAATCATTGTAGCAGAACTTTCAGAGATCTTTTTCAAGAGCCACTGGTCCCTACAAATTTCATGAGTGATGGTAACGTTTTCTTCACTTAATGGCAATGATATAAAAAATAAAATCATGCTTATAAAAGTAATGAAAAACTGTATGAGGTACCTAATTAACTGGAAAAAAAGAAATTGCAGAATAATATTTAATATAATCAATTAATCTTCAAAATATACACACACAAATGTGCAAACATATTATCTCTACCCACAAGTCATGTGTGTCATAAAGTCTACCAGAACATATTAATATATACCGAATTGTAAATAGATTAACACTGCAATTGAGAATGTTGGCACTTCATGAGCCTTATCTTCACTATCTAAGAATTTCTAATGTTAAAGTTTGCAACCTGAAAAATAAAAGAATTAAGATAGTGAATGTTCATTATAGAAAATATAGGGTGGAACAAAAGTAGGCTTACAGTTCTGAGTATGTGAAATGGAGTTTATTCTTGTATTATTAATTATTATATTAATATTTTTCATACAAACAATGGTAAACCCAACTTTTGCCTCATGCTGTATGTAAAAGAAGGGCACAGTTCCCCCATAATCCCTTAGCCAAAGATAACTGCCCGCAACTTGGGCATGTGCCATGGTTGGTTATCAAATAGGACAGCCCCCAACTAGTCACACTGTCCTAGGCTATAGTATGTTTTTTATTAGTAATTCATAGATTTGAATTAATACTGGACATAAAAGTTTATATACTGCTCTTAGACTTGTTATAACATATACTTGTATATTATACATCTATGATAATGCTATATCATATAATTGGAGATTATTAATGACCCTCATTTAATTGCATCATACTAGTCTACCATGCAAAGGCACTATAATGTAATTTACTGTCTTTTTTGGGGAGATATATAAGTTATTTCCGGTTAAGAAAAATAATAGACAATGCTGAAACAATCATGATAAGCACGTACGTCTTACACTTGTTTCCAATACTGCTTTCTAGATTTTGTCAGTCACACTATCTCCTGCCTTGTGAAAAGCAGAAATTTGGTGCATGAAATCGATATTTTATCAACAATAGCAGCTGCTACTGTAAAGCTTTCTTTTAGTTGAAGGTTAATTCATTGTGTTACACTAGCTGTAGCTGACTTAAAATTTCAAAACCTAGGAGTTAATGAATGAGACTGCTAATTGGCTTTGGAATGTGTTGTAGACATTTATGTTATACCAATAATATACTGGAGAGTTTGCTTTGCTGAAACTTCACTGAGAATCATCATTGATTATTTAGTGAACTTGTTAGTTTTCCTTCCTTTTTGTATGTGTCATTGCTTACACATAATGTTATTTGGTTGGTTTTTTTTTATGTACTTATTGATTTCAGAGAGAGGAAGGGTGAGGGAGAGAGGGATAGAAACATGAACGAGAGAGAATAATTGATCTGCTGCCTCCTGCATGCCCCCTACTGGGGATTGAGCCTGCAGCTAGGACTTTTGTCCTGACTGGGAATTAAACCTTGACCTGCTGATTCATGGGTTGATGCTCAAACACTGAGACATACCTGTGGGCTATTTGATTTCTTATATGATTACTAGTAGCCCGTTGCTGGAAGATTCCTGCAGTAGGGCTTCCTGTTGAACTCTCCCCCACCCCGCCTGCTTCTCTTCCTTCTCTACAGCTTTGCTCCCTTCTGCAACTCTTGGCTTCTTTCTATGCTGTCTTGATATGCAAATTAACCACCACCTTGGTTGGGTTAATTTGCATACTCACCCTGATTGGCTGGCGGGCGTAGCTTGGCATAGCTAAGGTGTGGTCAATTTGCATATTACCCTTTTTTTTTTAGGTAGGATTAGCTATTGAGAGAGAGAGAGAGAGAGAGAGAGAGAGAGAGAGAGAGAGAATGAATGTGTGTGTGTGTGTGTGTGTGTGTGTGTGTGTGAGAATGAGAGAGAGAGGGAGAGAGGATGTGAGAATTTTTTAAATTTTATTTTATATTTTCTGAGCTACTGAGATTCACAATTTTTATTAAAGCTTTTAACAGACTTTAAGAATATTAATTCTTTGTTGTATTTTTTCTCCACTTCATTTGCTTAACTTTATCTTCTTAAATTTAAAGTTTATTGAAGTGTTGCCAAATTTTTGCTTTATACTTATATCAACCAGTGCTTAGAAAAATAATAATCTTTTAAACTTTCTTCTAATCTTATCAATGTATTCAGTGCTTTAATTCAGAAAAAACAGTTCAGTTAGCTTTATAAAAATAGATACTGACTTTTGTGATTTTTTTTCTCTCACAGCTTTATTCTGCCTCTGTTCTTCCTCACTGATAAAAATCAATCCTTAGTTTTAATGAAGATACTCAAGCAATTAAAATATTTGTATGGAGGAAAGATCTCAGTTGTACATTGCTTCATTCTACAAATAGAGACCATGTTTAGAGTCAGATAATTAATTTTTTTTTCATTCTTTTATTTACTTCTCTTTTGGTTAGGGAAAGAGAAAGGTTAACCTATATTTTGAGATGTTCTATAGCCTTTACCTATATTTTTAACAACTACCCTGTTTCCCCAAAAATAAGACAGTGTCTTATATTAATTTTTGCTCCCAAAGATGTGCTAGGTCTTATTTTCAGGGGATGTCTTATTTTTCCATGAAGAAGAATACGGTACACATTTATTGTTAAACAAAAATAAAGGAAATTTATTACCTGTATACAGTATGGTAGTACAGTAGTTGTCAACACAAACCAGACAAACTGAATCCTACAGTATCAAGAATTTACTCATTTATTCAATGACAATCATGTCATCATCTTCTGGAACATCATTATAACAATCCAATTCCTGAATTTCCTGGTGAATTTCTTGTGACTCCATTTCTTTCAGAATCAGTGGACCAAATCTCTCATGTTTAGCAATAGCACTGTCTTTAAATGAGTACTTCTTGTCAAGGTAGCCTGCTCACAGTGCATTTGCAATGCAACTGTCAGTGATTTTCTCCCATGAATTCTTCACCCAAGTCACAACTTCTTGCAGTTTAGGTTTTACAAAGTTTCTGAGACAGAGCCTTGGGGGGCCTTATTTTCAAGGGGATGCCTTATATTTCACTGAGAAGGAAACCTGTAAGTACATCTTATTTTCAGAGGATATCTTATTTTCGGGGAAACACGGTACATACAAACACACATACATGTATACATACACCACATACATACATGTATATACACACACACACACACACACACAATTTTTCTTAATGAGATAACATTTATTTAGGAAGTCAGAGAGGTAGAGCCATAGAAGAAAATCAGCTCAGGAAATAAGTCACAGAGGTAAACGAAGAGCTCTTGGAGTTTATAGGAAAGAGAGAGAGAGAGACAAGGAAAACCCACCTGGGGGGAAAGTGGTGGGGAAAAGTGTGGTTGTGCTCTGTAGAGAGAGCTGCCTAGTATATGTTATTTAATAGTTACTTTACCTGTTCTGTTGATTGTTAACAAGTCATTGTCACTGTGCTTTTCCTGTCATTTTATTTTTGTCCCTAATGTTTTGTGTTGTTTGTTTTAAATGTTATGTGGTGGTGTGTCCCCAAGCCCAAGACAATACTGGTCAACTATACCAGTGATGTGTAGTTGATGTCCTTACTAGTTGAGTTGAGAGCACTCGCGTAGAATATTATTTGGTTATGGTATTTTCTGCAGTAATGGTCTCACAGTTTATAAGTTCTAAGAGAGAGAATTAGCTAGATTTCTCTTTCTGGGTTTAAGCCACCACTCAGTTCTCCATCTATATTTTTCTTGGTTTTCTCCATTCATTGGCTGTAAAACCAGGAAAGTGAAAGGATATCATTTGAGACTAGGAAAAGGCAATGAGAAATCAGACTGAGTTTCTGGAGACAAAATCTACATGTGAAAAGAATGTGCTTACTGATTTATTGGTGTTTAGTTGGTAACACTGCTGATAGGAATTTCATTTTGTGGTATTTGCTGTTCATTTCTAAGAATATTATTGATATGAGTGCATCACTTATGTAAGCATGCTATATGGTTGTACTCTAAGATAAAGATTTAGCCTGTCATTCTTAATAATATCAGAAATACTAA